AACTTATCACCAAGTTAGTCATCCAATGGAGGTAAACAAATGCACCCATATACATTCCACAGGTGCTGGAATGAAATGCAAGCTCTGGTATGTCTGTCATGACTCCATACTGTATGTGGAATATATGTTTTTTATTGATTTTTTGCATTTGCAAGCTGAGATTTTTTATACAGACCATGGTGTATGCTGTATTTTTGTATTTCATACTTATCCTTTACTGCTTCTGCACTCTGCAGTGATAAATCAAACTTGTTATACTTCTACTATTTGCTCATTACATAAAAAACAACCTGAACTTTACTGTACTAAACTGAAGTAGACTTGAATCAAATGAAATGCAAGCTCTGGTATGTCTGTCATGACTCCATACTGTATGTGGAATATATGTTTTTTATTGATTTTTTGCATTTGCAAGCTGAGATTTTTTATACAGACCATGGTGTATGCTGTATTTTCGTATTTCATACCTATCATTTACTGCTTCGGCAGTGATAAATCAAACTTGATATACTTATATTGATCCAAAATCTTACTATTTGTTCAACACATCAAGAAAAACAACTGATTTATTATACTGTAGATCTCCGGAGGGGCAACAAAACCTTCACGATAATTATTGTTTTTAGAGCTCCGGAGGGGCAACAAAACCTTGCCGATAATTATTGTTTTTAGATCTCCAGAGGGGCAACAAAACCTTGCCGATAATTATTGTTTTTAGATCTCCGGAAGGGCAACAAAACCTTGCCGATAATTATGTATGTTGTTTATTGGCAAGGTTTTGTTGCCCCTACGGAGATCTAAAAACAATAATTATCGGCAAGGTTTTGTTGCCCCTCCGGAGATCTACAGTATAATAAATCAGGTTTTTGTTGCCCCTCCGGAGATCTAAAAACAATAATTATCGGCAAGGTTTTGTTGCCCCTACGGAGATCTACAGTATAATAAATCAGGTTTTGTTGCCCCTCCGGAGATCTAAAAACAATAATTATCGGCAAGGTTTTGTTGCCCCTACGGAGATCTTAAAACAATAATTATCGGCAAGGTTTTGTTGACCCTCCAGAGATCTAAAAACAATAGTTTTCGACAAGGTTTTGTTGCCTTTACGAAGATCTAAAAACAATAATTATCGGCAAGGTTTTGTTGCCCCTCCGGATCTAAAAACAATAATTATCGGCAAGGTTTTGTTGCCCCTACGGAGATCTTAAAACAATAATTATCGGCAAGGTTTTGTTGACCCTCCAGAGATCTAAAAACAATAGTTTTCGACAAGGTTTTGTTGCCTTTACGAAGATCTAAAAACAATAAACATCTGCAAGGTTTTGTTGCCCCTCTGGAGATCTAAAAACGATAATTATCGGCAAGGTTTTGTTGCCCCTACGGAGATCTAAAAACAATAATTATCGGCAAGGTTTTGTTGCCCCTCCGGAGCTCTAAAAACAATAATTATCGGCAAGGTTTTGTTGCCCCTATGGAGATCTAAAAACATGTCGGTATCGGCAATGAAATATCGTCAATAATTATTAATTTACGAGTTTGTCCGTATCGGCAATGAAGTCTCAAAAACAAAACACATGTAACAAACTGCACAAAAATAACGGTTAAACGGAGCGAGAAATGCTAAACGGTTTTGATTAATGCGGTCGTATAACCGTCGGTTAAACGTTTTGACTCGGGCCTAATTTCACTTAGATGTTGGTGAACTTGTACATTTAACAGTTTTGTGAAAGGCTGCCCTGGACCCCAGGGTTTTTGCTTGCAGTGCAAATGCCCCTTGTAAAGTGTCAAGTTAGAGTCTGTGCCATTCAGAAATAATGATAGACATTATTTGCTCGGCATGGTTGACGACTTGACAAATGAGCTGTTGCATATATATGTCCCTGATTCTGGTATTCTGACCACATTCTCACACAGCTTATTTTGGTTTTGCTAGGAGTAAAATTTTGGATTCCATTACTATTTATTTTTCAATTTTGTACCCTACATGTCTCTCTTTTTTGATAATTCTAGTTTGGGTCTTGATAGAGCCATTTTGCCCCACCCCCACTCTTGTTTATTTTTGTACTGCTACATGTACAGGCCTATGGAAGAAGCATTGTCTCAGTATATGTCTCTTATGTTTGGGTGTATTTCAGTCAGAATGTACCGGTAGCTATTGTCTATGGATGGGATCATCATTATCGATGGGTATAAATGCCATAAAGGAAATGACCGTTGGGACACAGTTCCTTCTGTTCCTTCCTTTCTGCCTTGTTGGTTCTGCCGGGGCCTAGCTCCATCTATTGTGTAAAGTATCAACAGTTGGGTTCACATAGCAGTCCAATAACTTAGGGTGGTATTCTTGAAAGCGGACTAACTTTAGTCCATGGGTTAATCCATCGACTAGGGTGTATGAAATGCCAAGTGTCCATATGAATATGTTTTTGAATAATTTAATCTGTCACTAAATTAAAATGAAATGTAATAACATAATTAATAAACAACAATATAACTATGAAATAATTATGTTATCATGGTAATTTAGGGACATTATTCCAAAATATACTCATATGGACACTTGGCATTCCATACTTAGTCGATGGATTAAACCATGGACTAAAGTTAGTCAGCTTTCGAGAACACCACCCTTTAAGTTTAGGTCATGGTTTTAAAGTTATCTTGTACATGTAGTAAGGGACTATGCTGATGCCCTCATTGTTATAAAACCAAGTTTACTCAAAGTTATAAACCACAAGCGATCTTAAGGTTAGCGTGATAAGTACAAGCAGCAGGGGATCTTCACTTGGAAGTTACGTGTCCTGCCGATGCAATTAATTTCAAGTTATGCCGATACACCGGCATCTACGGTGAAGTTAAAATGAATGCTCTCCCTCGCTTGAAGTTTAAAACTTTTCTTCCTCGTCGTATCAATGCCATGTGATCCCTCGTTGCTGTGATTGGATCTTTGTTTAGAATTTTTTGCAATCTTAACATTTTAAAGCTAAGGTGGTTTCGTGTGAACATAGCCTATATAGACCTCCCTTGTCTGATTTTGTTTTCCTTGCAAGGACATCCCTTTAGCTCTGTCATTTCCTTTCTGTGTGAATTCAAAGAATTGTTTGAAGGTAAGAAGAAGCATTTGGGTCTTGGGTGAAAAAAGCTTATTGTCATGTATTTGGAAAGTTGCTAACTTTAAAGCACTTTACATTTGTATTAAATTTTGTGAAATGTAACCTCCCAGTACGTCTCGAAGTACAATATATTTGTAGTGTTTTCCCTCTTCCAAATTCCTGACATTGAAACAACAACATCGTCATCCATTTTTTGTACTTAATCAGAAACAGACAATTGCATGTCTTATGTAGTTTAGTTTTCAACCTACCGGTATCTATCTACTGTACATGTATCTAACTATCTATCTACATGTATCTACATTATCTATCTATGTCTGTCTGTCTATATGTATGTATCTTTCGGTATCTATCTATCTTATCTTTCTATCTAGCAATCTATCTATCTTATCTCCTGGGAGTTAAATTTGTATCTTTATTTATTTATTTATTTATTTATTTATTTATTATTATTATTTTTATGTTTTGGGGGAGGGGGGGGGGGATGATTATGTCTGGCAGGGCTTGATACCCAACAGGTGAGTGTGATATGAGCCTCAAATTGTAACCCTGGACCCCTCCTCCCCCCACCCCCCATTTCAAAATATTTAGAGGGGGTTCATGCGTGCACACCCTCAATCCAAATCTCCCGCAATATAGTATAAGCCCTGCTTAAGGATATATACTATACATGCGAATCAACTTTTTTGTCCTCACTTTGTGTGATTGTTCCCCTTAAAGCAATAATGATTAATGATCAATAGAGGTTTGTGGGTTGAGACTATTAATGCAAACAGGACAGCCAATTATCCATGACATTCTCTAATATGCTTGAGCCACTTTAATAACCAAGAGGTTTCAGATACACTTTTGAACGTACAGTTTATGTATGAGAAGCCTACCAATACAACAGTCTCTCCTAGCAATCGACACTCGGTTAAATTCACGAATATGTAATGACTTCGGCCATGGATCACAACGAGGTGTCAAATCTGCATGACACTGCAGTTTACCTTTCGCCTTAGCAGTTTCTGATATAGAGAATGTTAAATATAATTATTAGAAAAGTTTATTTACAGTATTTGTGTAACATACAATGTCAAATTCTGGTATTAGGAGTTTGTTATAGAAATGCTTCTATCGTGGATACAACATTGGGCAATCGGCGATTCTGTGAGATACAAGTATAACATGTGACTTTTATTGCAATGATGATTATGATAAAATTATTATTTTTATATTTTTAATATTTTTGGGGAGTGGCAGGGGGGGGGGGGGATATACAATTACAATGTTTTGCAAATCCAAAGTTTAAACTCTGTCTCAACATAACTGATGCTGGAGGGCTTTAAAAAGCATTTACATGTAGGAAAAACTGGGAATTGGAGGGCAGTTGACTTCCCACAATCTTAATTTGTGCAATTGTTCTAGTAGTCAATTTTGAGCCTAGTTATGTAAATCTGTATTGTTCGTTGAATTCTGTACTGGAAAAACTCGTAGTGCCGTTACAGGTGAGCTGTAGCAGTATCAGGGAAACAAATACCCTAAAAATTTCGGGGGCTACTTTTTAAGCTTGCTTGCATGAAAATAACACTCTTTAATTTGTTTTGCATTGAACTCTATGCAAATTTTTTGGGGCTCTTTTACGACTTTCGGGGGCTCTTTTTAGCATTTCGGGGGCTAATTCGTCCCGAGCCCCGTGTATTTTTTTCACTGAGCAGTATGGTTCTGTAACTCCCTGCTTTCCTAGCTGCGCCTTTGGATCTCGCATCAAGTCTTCTGTCTGCGAGGTGGGCATTGTTGGCAAGTCTGACATGAGATGGCGCTGTGTAATAAACTACGCTACGGCACAAAGTTCATCAGTTCAGTATCGCTTTAACATTTTTTTTCTTCTTTGTTCTTTTTTCTTGGTAGGTACTATTGCCTGGATGCTGTGAAAACCCTCCTACCACCACCATTCCAGGGAGATAACCAGAGGGAGACCCAGTAGGGCTGAGAGAGGGATCTAGATCAGGGACCCCTCTGACAAGATGCCACCCCCGCCGCCCCCACCGGGGCCCCCTCCCCCGCCCACCTTTAAACAGGCCAACACGACCCCGCCCAACCTCAACAAGAATGAGCAGAAAAACAGAGGGGCCCTTCTTGGGGATATTCACAAAGGAATGAAACTCAAAAAGACAGTAACAGTGGACAAAAGCGGCCCTTTGCTAGGTAATTAATTAAATTTATACTCACTTAATATGTGATCAAGGTTATACATGTAGCAGGGCTACCGTAAATCTCTGTGTATAAGACACACTTTTTTTCTTCCGGAAAATTTGAAAGTAGGGGGTGCGTCTTATAGACAGGTACAGGATATTTTGGGTCCTCAAAATGCTACTTTCTATTGGTTTACAAACATCTCTGTGTCTCAACCTAAATTACAAAATGCGAATAAAAAATAGGATCTACTAATTGAAGTTAACCTACGTTCCTAATTTAAAGGGAAGAGACTTTTTTTTTTGTCTTAAAAAATAGGGGTGCGTCTTAATATACACAGAGATTTGCTTCATACAATCATCAGATACACTGAAATCTAAGCTGTGGCCAGTATGGGATAAAATAGCTTTCACCTGCCCATGTAGTAAAAAACAGTTCACAGATATATTTTGTTTAATACAGTATAACTCAGTGGGGTAATTGACTACATGTGTATAAGTTTTCGTAAGATAGAGAAACGGGTCATTTATTAAAACAATTTATCTATAACTGATGTATTTTTTTTCATGGATAAAGCGATGCCAGGTGTTATCTGCCAAGATCCTGAATAAATATGACAGGGCTTGACACTAAGAGGGGTGCGGACCACATGGCCCCCCCCCCCCCCAAAAAAAAAAAACACAAGACAGACCCAGCAACTCTTGCTCCCGACCACAAGAAAATAATGTTAGTCTGGCCCTCTTTATGTTTAGAGTTATGTTTGATTTTCTGTCTCTTAATGTAAGATATATTCCATCTTTCATAGTGTTTCATGGAAACCTACAGTCTAACTGATTACTTTCCCTTTATTATCTTTCATCTTTTAAGGTCCATCAAAACCTAGTGGAGGAGGAGGAGGAGGAGGAGGGGGAGGAGGCGGAGGAGGAGGGGGAGGAGGAGGAGGCGGCGGAGGAGGATTTGGAGGAGGAGGAGGAGGGGGTCTTGGAGGGCTATTTGCAGGTGGAATGCCCAAATTGAAGCCATCAGGAATGAGGGGCGGCGGAGGCGGCGGTTCAGGTGAGATTCAATAAAATGGTGATCAGACATTTGCTTCAGGTTTTTATCTGAAAAAGGTTATCTGTAAAAGCAGAAACTTTGCCCACATTGATTCTTTTTCTTCTTGTGGTCCAAACATAATACAAAAGTTTCAAGCTGCGAAGCAATTTAATAAAAACTAATCCATACTGAAAGAACAGAAGAGAAGAGAAAAAAATGATGCGAAGCTTGAATATATGATACCTACATGTTCACTCACAAAATTGCCGTAATTGTACAAAACTTGACTGAATAGACACCCTTTTTTCCATCCTAGAGAGATTCCATATTACCTGCAAGCATACCAGAACCAGTATAATTTTAGAAGACGTTTAATGATGATTACTCAAAATTAGAAACATTTCTTTCTCTGATGTGTCATGATGAAAATCATGATGGACGTCATATTTTCCCCATGTTTGGCTGCACATCGTACCAATGATGTAACAGGATGCACATTCTTATGGACACACATTATGTTGCAATTATTTATCCTCTGCATGATTCACTACTAAAGTAAAAGCGGAGAAGATTTCTTTTTGAAAAATCCCTTTCAAGGAATGCATGTGGGACACGGCGTAGTGTAGCCTAAACCTTTACCTCCTAAGGCACAGTTGATTTCAATTGAATAGCACCCTGGGCAGCGTGTCACGAAATCTTCATAAGTACAAGTTGGCGGACACCCCATTGAAACGTGTGTATTAAATGTAACATGCGTTTCAGTGGGATGTCAGTGAACATGTACTAATATGAGGGTTTCATGAAACGATGCCCAGATCTTGTACTTGTACATGTACATGTAGTTGTACAGTATGGTACAGATCACGGGCCTGTTTCACAAAACTTCTTATCAATAACAAATGCCAAAGTTCTATAACAAATTCACTCTTTAAAATAGCCAATTAAATGCCACAATTTCAATAGCTTATACAGTGATCGTAACTTGTCATTGATAATAGTTTCATGAAACAGGGCCCATATACACATTTCACACTGTTGTATTTAATTCTGATGAAAGATGTTGATCTAACAAAAATACTGTATTAGACCCTTTTATAGAGGTCCAATTTAATTTTCAGAGTTCCGATAAAAAATATTTCAAATAGTCAATACTGAGAACAAGCTAATCTCACGTTATAATTATCTGTCTGATGTTCCCACATAAAAATGTTTTTGTAATACATTTACATAATGTTTTAAGAAAGATGAACTAGCATGATTATAACATTGAAACAATAATTATAATGTGACTAGTGCTTTTTATTTGAAATTGATAAGTTGCAGCTTTTTAGAATGTGTTAAGTTTCTCAAATGCTTGGTACTAGTAAATAATCTGAAATGTGATTTTGTGACTATTATAAAGTTTAATTCATCAACAGTTTAAGCCTTTTCATTTTAGTTAGAACCTTCAACCCAATCTACATCTCTCCATCCATACAAACCTGTACATGTATCCCTAATTTACCAACATTGCTTAAAACTTGCTATTGGTTTGTTGTTAAGGACATGTTTGTATTTACAAAATTGGGTAATCTTCCATAAAACAGATAGAAATTAAAGTTGAAAAAGTTTGTAGGCCTACTATGGTTTCTTTAAATCTTTCTTGCTAGAAAATACTCTTTGGAGTTCTTTCAAAAGATTGTCCTATGATCACAGCCTCAATTGTGTTGATATAATCAGTACATTTTACTTCACAATCTATAGTGTAACCAATAGAATACTCAGATTCTGGCGGGATTCCTTAAACAAATGTCTTTGCTAATCATGGCAAATTTTTATGCAAGTAATAATTAAGAAATAAAATCTACATTCAAAATTAAAATGAAATTTAAAATTTGATTAAATCATTAAACAAAATGAATGATTTGGCTATATTCAGCTGTTTTATATCACTATGGAAATTTGTTAAATACAGGTTTAGATGCACAGTTAAGTGCTCAATCCTTAATACAGCTGTATTTGGTAGATATGGCTTTGTTAATGAAATTACTAATTAATCAAAGAATAAGAATGCTGAGATCACTGATATATATATATATATATTGCACTGGACAATGTTTAGAGGTGGAAATAATACTGAGAATGCTGTTTCTCTCTTTGATTTCTCTAGCACAATCAAACACACCCTCATTACATGCACCCTCATCAAACCATGTCCATCATAGCAACAGAGGCCTGTCAACGTCACCTCAGCCCCCAAGACACAAATTTGGTAATGGTGGAAAGCCCAGCGGTGGCGGACTTCCCGCTTCACGACCATTACCCCATCCCTCAGGGAACTCACGGCCGCTGCCCAGCCAACCACAGAACACTCACAACCCGGTGTCGGCCAGAATTAGTAATAAAGGCAGCAGCAATGGGCACGGGGCAGCAGACAGAGCACCACCCCCTCCACCTCCTAGTAGTAACAGACCTAGACCCCCATCAACAAGTTTTCCCCCTCCACCCCCATCATCTTTACCATCCTCAAAACCCTCAAATAATTTTCCACCACCCCCTCCCACATCATCTATACCCTCAAGAAATAGTAGAGCGCCGCCTCCCCCAAAGAGAGATCCCCCTAGTAAAGGGTCGACGCCCCCGCCCCCGCCCCCTCAAGGGAGGATTGATAATAAACTATCCAATGGTCCCAGTACAGGTCCACCACCACCACCGCCTTCAAGGCAGCCCCCCGGTGGCAGGCCGCCCCCACCCCCAAGAGATACCCCCAGGCCGGGGACTGCACCACCACCGCCTCCGCCTTCCAGAAGTCAAGGCCGGCCGCCGTCAACGGCTTCAAGTTCGTCGTCGAGGGCGCCGCCACCGCCGCCTAACAGAACGTCGACCGGTCATTCTGCTCCTCCGCCCCCATCCAGGGATAAAGGACCAAGACCGCCGTCAATAGTGGGAGGACCGCCCCCACCACCACCTTCTAGAGGTACACCCAGGAGTCCCCCTGCAAGGAACCCCCCTGCCAGGGATTCAGGAATTATGAATGGAACTGGTAAGTACCATGCAATATTCCTTTATCTAATTTTCTACCTCATTAAACAGTGATAAAATGCTATTTAACTATTTGCAATATGTAGAAAATGTTCCATCAAGTATTAACATTACTGCAAACCTGGCAAAAATGGTGATGTTTTAGAGATCCATTTCCGCATGACACTCCTGACATGGTGCGTGGTTGAGTTTTAAACAACATTTTATTTTCCGGGACAACAACGATTCTATCCCAGTTGTGTTCTAGATGCAGAAATACTGGGGTTTCTGTACAAAAGACTTCAAAGAGACACAACACCAGGTTATAGTTACAAAATCCAAGATATATAACCTTGAAGTTCGGACAAGATTTCCTTGTTTGACACGAACACATGTATTTCCTTATAATACCAGCCATCAACAATGTGACATGGGCCATGTATTATAAAGCCTTTTGATTGATCGTAAGGTTAATGTTGAGCGTAATTCTATGGCTCATCGTGTATTGATCAAGTTTAAGATCAATCGTAACTCTTTATAATACTCGGCCATGTACATGTACTGTATGCTGGTAATGTTCCATACTGCATCGCTTGCCAGAATCCAAATGTGTGTCTGAGATAGTTTTGATCCAGATAAATTCTTGTCAGTTCCAGGTAGGAATATGAAAGATATAATCTATCTAAATGTTAAGTAGACTTGGATACTTACAGTGTATAATATTGGATGGCTTTGAGTGTGATACAAGAATATATTGCTCGAGCTATGACAATATTGGACGAGTCAAAGACGAGTCAAAGACGAGTCTAATATTGTCTTAGCATGAGAAAAACTGACAGTTTTTGCTTGCAACTTGTAAATGCAGCTCATGAGTAGAGACTAATACAGAAATTTGTATGATATGCTTTATGTGTGTATGATTACCGCCTTTCGAATGCGTAACAGCTGTTTCTTGTTCCATTAAAGGTACTCAGCAACATATCTTATTAAGTTAATTCCAATCAGTTCATTTTGGGGTGGGTGGAGGGTGTTTAGGTTGTAGCTCTCCGATTGTGGACAGATACATACATGTACATACATCGTACATGTGTGTATGTTATTTTACTGACAAACATCTAAAATTATACTACTGTAAATGTAGATTTATCCTGAGAATCGTATAGCTATACGATATTATTAAAAGTAAATGCCTTTAAACAAAAATCTGAACATTGAATAGAGAAACATCATGTAATATGTAACAAAACGATTTGTAGAAAAACTCATGTTACAATGTATGTACAGTACATGTTATGTATGATATTCATAAAAAAAGTATAAATATTCTATTGAAGGAAAATCTCATGACTAGGCAGGGCCAGCGATTGATGTCTTCAAAACTAATTTCTTTATTTGACCTTTCTTTATATGATCTACAGTGTAGGCCCTTTAACACAAAGCCTAGCAATTGACCAAATGATTGATTTTTGCGATCGATTGCTTAAAGTAGTGATCACTGCAGTCAATTGTAAAAATCAATCGTACGATCAGTTGCTATAAAAATTTGTGTAAGTTGGGCGGTGGTCTGCACGCCTCTTTCGCTATACGATCAATCTCAATATGATGTTTCTTCATTCTAGTTTCATATACATGTAAGTCTCCTATAGTCTGAAGTCTGAACAGTCTATTAGTAAAATGGGTTTAATGGCTTTCTAAACACTCAATGTATCTTGTCAGTTGTGCGAGGCTTATCAGAGCAAAGACATCGTTGATGAGGCCATAGTCCAAAGACGAACGAAGTGAACGTAGAACAATTCCCAAGTGCACTGTACAAACATGTATACATCATAAAGTATGTCACACCCCCTGTCCGCACACAACATTTTCTGTGATTAGGCGTGATTAGCTATACCATTTCGCGATGGTGATACCGTTTCGTGATAGTTTTACGATGAAATTGTGTGTGTGGACGCTCACTAACGATACGTCGTATAACGAAACTAGTCTAACGAAACGCAGGTTTGGGCATCGTTTCGAGCTAGAACTCAATAAAGAATCACGCCTAATCACGGAAAATGTGTGTGGACAGGGGGAGTGTAACTAGTGTAACTAACTGGGCGGGGCTTACCGTGACCTCGAGCGAAAGGAGACCAGACCTCTCATTTCCGCTTCCATTTCATGACCGCAGTAGCAAACTGCGCACCTACAGTATACGACATTTCACTGTAGAGTTTCAGAATTACTTTCTACTGTGTGTGGACATCCTAGAATTTATATGATGATTATTTATACGACGTTTCTTGTGTGTGGACACTCTGAAATTTATACGATGATTCTTTATACGACGTTTCGTTATATAGTTTCGGGATAAATTGTTTTGTGTGTGGACACGCTGATAGTGAATGAAGAACAATTCCCAAGTGCACTGTACAAACATGTATACGTCATAATGTACATATGTCACAAAGTCATAGGCAAAGGTAGAATACAGATGAATACAAGTAAGACCACAAGTGTAGGGAAAGTGTAAATAATTCTTCAAGACAATCTTTGCTATTAAAGATAAACTTTAGTACTGGTAATGCGATTGCATTGTGAAAGAAAAGGTGTGGAAAGGATCAGAAACAGTTGATTATGTAGCATGTAAGTATTGGTGTGGACTGCAAGGTTCTGGATTCATCAAAATCATAATAAATTTGATTGAGTCTTGGTAAAGTAACAAGCACTTACACAGAAAGCTATATATGGGACAACACTCATGGTGTCGGGGCTGGTACTACCTTGATTTCCTTGTCTTCTTATGCTCATTACTCAGCCAGTATACATTTTCTTCCAAAATTGTTTGGCACATGTCATTTATTTGTAATCTTGAACATTCAGTGTAAGTTTCGTTTGATTCTGTGAGAATTCATTTTCTTTTTTTTACCAGAACTCAAGTTTATCTTTAACTTTATAAAATACTATGACCCTCATTGGATATAGAATGGAACAGTCATGATATTAATAAGTCACATTAATTTAAGTTTTGATGTGATAATGCTAAATAACTTTTTTGTTTTTCTTAGGATAGAAGATAACACTTGTTACGTGTAGGGACATGATTTAAATTCTTATCAAGTTTTATTTTGTGTAATTGATCTACTGCATGGTTATAAGAACATCTATTTTTATCCATTCTAACAAAAATTTGATATTAGTAACTCTATTTGTAATACAGTACATTTGATTTTGAAGCTTCCTTTTAACTTTGAATGGTATCCAAACAGGGAGGGGGAAGGAAAGGGTGAAAATATGATGAAAATGGCAAGTTGTATGAGTCACTGTTTTGAATTCATTGAATGAATACTTCAAATACAACCCCTAAAGCCACTTCAAGGCATACAGTCTGTACACATATGCAGTGGTGCTTGTACAGTGTATGCATTCACACAAGAAACTTTGAAAGACAGAATTTTGTCTGTTTTCTATCTGTAGACGATACAGGCTATTAAGTGGAGTATTGAAACCTGATGCCTTATGAGTATCACAGAAATATGCAGCAAACTTCACACATTCCATCTTTTCTAGTATACTCGTAGTCCAGAATCTGCACGGTCCTTTATAATTTCCCTACACTTGATTCAAGCCGTCGAAGATGGCGTTATCAACAAACTCATAATTATGCTCACAAGCCCAGCCGGGCGTCCTAATTTCATGATCACGCCATCATCGGCTGGGAGCAAGTAAGTAGGGAGAGGTTAGCGTTGGTGGTGGAGATCAAAATTAAATAGGCCAGATTCTGGACTAGTATACTCGGTACTCCAAATACCAAACACATAAGGAAGCAATATCCTGCAGCACTGCTATGGTGTTGTACATACATGTACATCACAGAACGGAAATCAGGGGGGTGTTTCACAAAGATCCTAAGTCGAACTTAACTCTAAGTGTGACTTAAAAATTATAGAGAGCCATTTGTTGCCTTAAAATAAAATATATTCAAAAGCGAAAATTCAAACATTTAGACTTTTTATAAATTCCACATCAAGAACAAGAAATCTCCTTGATAATAGAAAATATTGATTTGAATCAACATTTCATTCCATTTTGAAATAACTTTTACAAAATATTTTCATAGATGCTAATGGCTTTCCATAATATTTAAGTCCAACTTAGAGATAAGTTCAGCTTAGGATCTTTGTGAAACACCCCCCATATCTTTTCCTACTTGATTCATGTTGTATCACTTTGTACTGCTGAACTTCAGGCACTCATAGTGATCTGTCGGTTTCAGCAGACAGATAAGGGGAGCATGTCGAAAGCAACTCTCGCTATGATCAAGGAGCTCCTACTTTGAATCAACTTGTATTTGCCGTTTCAGGCGTATTTGTGTCTGCGAAATTCTCAGAAGTCTTTTTATTTTCATGAATATTCATGGTGTGTGTACTAGTAAATCTATTTTATTTATTTATTTATTTATTTATTTATATTTATTAGTCTTGTTTTAATAGTAGGGTGGCTCTATCAGTACCGGTAGTTCAATAATGTTTTCCGTGGAGGCCCTTCAACATAATACAAAATTTACAAGCTTATTGATGTAAACGATACAAATCTAGACAAAATAAATTTGCTTACAACATTTTCGAACAAAAGAAAAGAAACTAAAAACAAGACAATGAAACAGTTCAATGAGTAAGATTATGAGTGTTTACATTATGTCATGGAACTACATATTTTTCCATTGTCAAGAACTTAGACAATTCTTAGTTTAATCAACCCAAGCTGAAATAAAAACTTATTGTTATTTTGAAGCATTCATGCTACTTCTGTACTGTAGATGTTACATCTAATAAATTCTTTACACATGGTACACAATTCAACTCCTTCTTCCATGTATAACACATGTAATTGTTGTCATATATATATTTTCCTATGTTATGAATATGTTTGATATCATTGTTGTATTGAAGAAATACAAATAATGTAGCAAAAACAAAACAAAAATCATTTGATGGTTAGCTTAATGTAAAAAAAAAGGAGAAGTTTATACAGTGTAATCTCTGC